ACTCACAAAAAAATATATAACCACTAATTAATTTCAATCTCCTAACTTAGTATGAGATAATGTGTTTGAATAAACCAAATTATATCTGCTACCATCATCAGATCAAATTTCGTGTCGGTCTATTGTGAAATGTGCATGGTGTATTGTCTCTGATATAATGGACAGTCCATAAACCCATTACTGCCTGGGCTTCACATACATATAGACCAATATACCGTCACACACTGTACACTGGCTCTACAAAACCGGCGTCAAACTAATCAGGTGACACAACGGGCAGATTCGGCGGTAGGTAGCGCTGTATGTTTGAAGATGGCGCTAAAGCGTGTGAATCGCAGTGAGCTGCTGTGGACTATTTGGTCGGATTGAATGTTATATTGTATATCCATTTAAAGGCCATGATATTATTGTTGTTTGATAAAGACATTAAACGTGTGAAAATGAGCCTTTATCAATGGTAGATCGTACAGGTAGTGTTATGTAGCAGCTTAACGACAGACGCTAGTCTGTTTGCGACAAATCTAAGTAATTATAGGATAACGAACGTAACGCCCGTATCATAGAATAGCATTATCACACTCAAATACCCTTCGTTAACAGTTAACACGATCAAGGCATTTCTGTTACGTCATATCTGACCCTGTAGTTTTGACGGGAAAGCAGATTTAAACGATATTCCTACAGTTGTAATTTCTTAACATTTACATTTATATGTTAAATGGTCGCTGTCCGCCCTGCTTCAGCGTGATACTACTGGCATATTGGTAGATTAGTGGAGTTAACAAAGTATTCACGGAATGTATCAAGGTTAGTTATCGACACGATATTCGTTTTTAATTGTGCTTTCATTGATTTCGAATTAGTCCTTGAGTGATTGAGCTGTGGCATATGTTTATTATTTCATTCTGAAACGATCACAAGAACAAAATATTAAATCGAACTTGATATTAGGCACATAAGCAAATATTAAAAAAACACATTTTCATTACTTAAAACGAATAAAGAAAAATTGCAGAACAAAGGACACGGTAAAAAGGGAACAGACGGCTGGTAGTTTAACTCGGTACCACACCAAACTACCAGGCGTCTAGTTCAACCTCGCCAAAGCACGCTCACTTTTGTCTAAACCTTTAGTACACTGTCATGGCCTTCAGTTACCTCTAATCACGAAACGAGTACGACCAATTAAGGTAAATCTTCACGAAGCATATATAATACAAAGATTTACAGTTACTTGGATAAATGACAAACGAACAGTTTGAAATGAAAATTACTTTATAACTTGTCTCTTGTCTCTCCGCTACAATTGGTGTTTACGTAGGTAATCACTGTAATTAAGCCAATTAGTTGTTGAAAGCGTGTGTGAGTGCGTGGACAGGTGTACCAGTGATTTGTATCCGGTCCAAGGCTGGTCTGGCCCTAATGTACCGTGTAACACTCGACATATATAGCTCTAATTATGTGTCGATCACACGACACGAGCGGTTACCTAACAACGACAAAAAGTTCCGTCGACATTGCTGCCACTTTGCCTTTACAACGCCTCCCTGTGTCAGATATGTACTTTATACTCCGAATGCACCGGCTTTGATATATTCTAGCAGGCATTTATGATGTTTTTTTTTTAAATAATCCCTTTGAGAATCTACAAGGCATATTTTGTTTGAAAAAGACCAAACAAATCGACTATAGTGTATTCGGAGGCAATATTTATGTTACAAGCATTTAAAAAAAAATCTATAAAAGACAGGGCTGCCACTTCTGCATAAAGTAAAGATCAGCCGTATTGATTTGAAGTCATAGGTGAAATCATTTGGTTTGCAAGTAAATTGTGGATGACACATCTGTATATAATACTAATCAATAAAACTCAAGGAGAACTGTGATTATCAAAACACGTTCATGATCCGATTCCCCCTTTTGGAAAATAAATGTATTTTAATTATGACAAAATTAAGAAAAGCTTCATCTACTGTTAATTGATTCCCCCCACCCCCNCCGTCCTTATAACATATTCCCACGACGTGATACTTTCGATATTTAACTTACCTAGTTTATATTTGAGGTATTATCATAAATGTTGGGAATACTTCACATTTTGAGTAGCAATAAGGAAGCCTTAACCTAGACAAAAATATGTGGTTGTTTGTGGAACCTAGCTTTCACCTGGTGATATGTGAGTAGATCACTTCAAACCTGACTTATATGGTATACCAAAACCTATATATATCATTGTATTGAGTAGAGTTTTATCATCAATCAATTACAGGTAAGTATACTAGTATGTGGAAACACATACCAGGTCATACTCGAAAACAAGGTTGATTGCTTGTATTACGAGAGACACAAATTTCTGATAAATTGGAAAAAGGAACACATACTGTCAACTGCTTTGGTATCAAAACCGTTTATCTGGAATGTGAGGCCTATGTTGGAGGAATCAATTAACAGTAGATGGAGCTTTTCTTAATTTTGTCATAATTAAATTCATTAATTTTCCAAATATCACTTTATAAATCTTACTTTTGGTCATTATGTTGCCGTGGTTTTATCGATATTGAGTGTTTTGATGTGTGGGTTTTTGACACATTGTCATTTTTCTTTTAATCTAACAGCCATGTAATTTGAAATTTACTTTTATTACTACGTTATTCGTTTATCACTGTCGAAGTTATACCTGTCTCTCCAGCTTATGGAACTGACATGTAATTTGCTACTACAGAGCCTATTCTAAGTAGCTGTATAATATCTGTTTATATCCTATCAACCAATTAATTCGCGGACGGTAATTTTCTACTTTTTTCTACAGCTACAGTCTATAAAGAAGGCATTTTAGTCTTCATCATGACCTCATTACTGATACTATTACTGAGTCTTAGACTTGAGTGCCTACCGTTAACAAAGAGGTGTGTAACTGACAGACATAGCGTCCTTAATTTTGGCAAAAGAAATTATGACAGGTGCAGCCAGCACCATTCTGTGTCTATTTGCGTCGAGAGGTATCATAACGGCTACGTGTGTTGACGCTGTGGTATATATTTCGTTCTTCTAATGTACATGAAGAACAATTTATCTAAATGCGATATAGCAATGAGAACATAAAACTATCCCAAATAAAAACTGACTCATTATATTTTAAATACAACAAAGCATAAATATTTCTCCTCGAATTTGAAATGTGAAACTCGACACTGGCCTTTTAGAAACTTTTTTTTATTTCAGTTCCTATGGGATCTCGCTTTCAAGGTAAACAATTCATCTTAGAGCATTGATTTTGCAATCGAAGGAAAGAATTACCATGCTGTGCACACGGAAATGTGTAGCCATGATCAATGTTAGACTGCTCGGTGAGATATATGACTGTATGAAGCTTTAATGTTTTGTTTTCATCTCTATGAAGATTAATATGTTTCCTCGCTTCAGCGTTCAAACGATCGATATGTAGGTTTATGTTGGTCGATATCTAGGTTTATTGGTGTTTTTGTCCTCTTTTTTTTATTTTAAAGTAGATAGTTTTATTTGTGTGTTTGTCACGTATTTTCCATGTGTTGATGTTCGGGTATAAATTCCCGACAATCAATAGAGTCATGGAAACAGTTAGCACCTTACGCGACACCCCGACACACATAGACCTAAACGCCTTAGCTCTGACCGATCGACCGTGGCGACACAGTGTGAGCTTCTGTTTGTTTACCAACAGACGGCCGCTAAGGGTTAATCACAGGTATAGGAAACACTACGGTATACCACTGGGCTTTCCAAACAGGTAAATTTAATTGTAGATTCCTGTAAGGTAATACACCTACATACACTCATCCAAAGACTAAACTATATATAGATAACATTTAACTTTAATAGTGGTTTTTTATGATGGCGTAATTAACGCCGACACATGTAGAGAATTATTCAGACTTTTCAAGATTCCCCTTAGGTAATATTCTAGTTTGTTACTCAAAGGGTTCTTTTACGATTTAGTGCAAGGTAACTACAAAACAAGGGGTGTAAAGTAAGAAAATATACAGAGTAATTGGCATTAAAGTGGTGTTCTGGACATTCCCTAATAAAAAAATGGTATTTAAATGGATATGTCTTTTGCTCATCGTTATGTTTGTAAACTTAGAAACTATTTAATGTTTATACATTTACAAATCGATTCACTCCCAAACAGAAGGAACAAAATCTAGAATATAGATAATTCACACCAGTGTATTCTCTTTGCTAAATTCAGCGTTGTCCTTTAGCTTACCTCGAAATAAGGTAGAGCTGAGACACGGACCCACAAAACTACGTCGCGATCAGCGATAAACGGAAAACTTGACTTCGTAACGAGTTCATCATAAGGATCACTAGATTTTGTTTTCATAATTTAATTGAAAGGTTTAATTGTTAAAACATCCATATACATTATTTAAATAGCAGGAAGTCAGTTTTCTAGGGCACTATTTCCTTTCATAAATACATTTAGATGAATACAATATCCTCTGTAGCTTCGACAGGCTGGAGTTTTACCACCAAATGTTTGTGACTTTGTGGGCAGGAAACACTTACTGTACTCCGTATAAGGATAGCAATATTACATATTTTGAGTACAGACTTGCAGTACTCCGTATAAGGATAGTAATATTACATATTTTGAGTACAGACTTGCAGCACTCGGTATAATACATATTTTTAAATGAAGATAGTTTCATATTTTTAGTACTATATTGAAATACTCGTCGTAACATCATGTAATGTCACATGACAATAGTTATGTTATTTTCTGTTTTGTATCTGTTTCGTCCATAGCAAATTTTAAGTTAGAACTATTCAAACAATAATAATATATAATATATATGGTCATTAGTGTATTGACTGACATTTAACAATTAGCTTTGTTCAATTAGAACTTGGTTGATACACTGGTTAGATTACTGGTGACTTGTTTTGACCAAATTTACTATCGAGGACACAGATCTAGTGAGGCACACAGCGTTAAGATATAGACACGAACAACAATAGATATGGTCAAGATTATTTTAATATACAACAATAATAGTTTAAACATGTAACATATCACAGTACCTTTGTATATCACAGATAAATAGCACATACCGATGATTGATGAATGACAATGGAATGTTGTATAAATTAAAAAAAAATATTATCACAGTAGTCATAATATCAAAAACAGTTTTGGTAGAACTTAAGTATTATTTAATTTCAGACGTATTTCGAATAAAAAATGTTATGCTTCTTTACGAAGATTTAATTTCTGTCAAAATGAGGTTCAAAAATAGCGAAAATATACATTTATTTCGACTAAAGCTTAAATCGATTTCTGATAAAAAGGAATCATATTTTTTTTACGGCAAATCCTGATTTTCTTTTTTATATTTTAGGTATGCAAACGTCATATGCATATATAAATACTGTCAGAAGACTGTTAATTATAGCAGTTCTCCTCTGTCGTAGATAACCTGGCTTGGCACGTGCGGAACACACCACATGGTTAGTCCTTTCTATACAGGAGTCACGGTTATTGGCAGCGGAATGTTATAATGAGAAATGTTATGAACACATAGTGGTACGCATAAATAGTTCCACAACTCGTCCCCAAAATCCTCTCTAAGACGTATTTACAATTAACGTAAGCATGCAGTTTCGTAGTTGTCCCAATTGTTTCGTTTATGGAAGTGTTACGTGCACATGCAAACACGTGCATCTTCTGTTTTCACGATACATGATCTGCAGTTAGACATAGGCAGTGTACCATTTGTGTATGGACACATGTACAATTCGCATATTACAGCAAAGAATACAGCTCGGTTTAGGAAGTGGTGTAGACACACGTAGCTGTAATAATACCACGGTGTTTAGTCACGGGATCGTCCTAACACACAAATCAGCCTAGTCCTCGCTCTGTCACTTCCAGAAAAAACGTTTTTCAGCACCAAATTAGGCCTAGAATCTGTGCGGGAATGTTCTCCGGCGCAGTTTGTTTAAGGTTAGTCCCTGGTCATTGGCTTAACATAACACTCAAGACTGGTCCGTATGTTCTGGCGCCGGAACAATTATGTGCATACCGGAAAATTTCTTTGGAAGATGTTCCATCCATCGCATGCATTTGTCAATTGCCTGTCTTTGTTCTTCGTCCATTTCCTCCACGACCGGGTGATGAGGATCTGACAATGAGGAAGACTGTGTATGAAGACTGTCAGCAGAGTTTCCACTGTTTACGTCGGATTTTTGTCCTGACGATGAACTGTGTTGGTAAGCATGTCTCCCGGAAATCTTGTTTCCATTTGTTCGTCTCCAGTTCTTAAGACGCTCTGTGTGTATCCACTGTTCCTGTCGTTTAAGATGGTGCCGGACATGATCGTTTGCGGCCATGTCGTGTCTGTTGTCGAGTTTTAAAGATGACATTATCAACGGAGGTAACAGGTAACCTGTGGTAAAGGTTGTCGTAGGTGTATCGTAGTCGGCAGTATCGGTAAGTCTACCGCTTATCGAGCTGTTCTCGGCTTTTATAGGCTGGCGGCCCGTACTCCCCAATACACCTCGGTCGTTATTGGTTAATCGATAACTTTTGTCAGCTGCATTCCGGAAACACTTAGAACTGTTCGTGACGTCACAGAGGAGGCACGGATCCCGTCTGTGTAGGTTAACACTGTGATTTTCCGTTGAACTAAGTTTTATGGGAGGCAAGGTTAGCTTATTGACATATCTGGTCTCAATACCATTGTGTGTGTCTGTCAATGCCTTAGGTGGAGAATAATCACACAGCATTACTTCGTTTTTTGACGGACTTGAGAGGCCAAGCTTACTTCTTACTGAGGGGATATCACACATATCGGAACGTTTTTCACTCGAGAATTTTCTTTTTCTACTTTTATTTTTATGAATTCTCTTAGTAGAAGGGTTACTCTTGTCCTCGGTCTTTCGACTAAGATTATGTTCAGTTGAAGTTTTCATTGCAAGTTAAATAGATACTGTACCCTATTTAGTGAAGCACCTGTCTGGTATTTGGTCTACTATTTTAAACCCTTAGAGCCTGATTGGGTCTGATGAACACTGAGGACAGGTGTCCTGCTCTGTATCGAAGCCCTGGATCATCGAGTTGGGTCTGTATTGACCTCTACCGTTGTTATCGTCTGAAACACGCAAATTGAAATGCTATATAAATATCTAAATCATCAACAACATATCGAAAACATGAATGAGCCAGAAGTACTTGAACATCTATTTGTAGCTACTTGAGCCCTGAATCAATACTATTAATAAGAATGGTAAGAGTTTTACAAATAGCGACCTGAGTAAGTGGTCCGGCCTGGTCAATGCAGGCTCTATATAGAAACGCTTACAATGTCTTATGAACTTAAGTAAATAACTGTATAAGAGAAGAGGCATGTCCTTAGACCGACAAACTATATTGATACCAAAGAAGCTCATAAACAAATGGCTACCTTGTTACAAAGCTCAAACGTTACCATCTGTATTGTACTTTGTAGTTAACTCCACAGCAGAAAAGCAATACTTTTTTTTCCTTCACAACTATATATACATAAATTTTCTTCAATTAATTTTGTTTGCGAATGAAACACAAACTGAATCTATTCGCTTTGTTGTCACAATATTAGCTCACTATTTATTTGCTTTAAGAAAACAGTAAATTTAGGTGGAAGAACATTTCATTTGGAAATTGCGTCATACAGTCTCTCTGAAAAATACTTTCGGATAGTTCAAGTAGATATTTTTTCATTAATATGATGTAATGTATAGCTAAATGACATGATATGGACAAAAGTAACAGTGTTACTGGCACGCTGTTTGAATGGGAGTGTCAGGGGATGGTATGAGACACTCATTTGATTTCGACTGTTATGATAATTTGTCTACGTAACTTTAACATTAATAGCTTTTATTGAGTGTAATTCTGCTGTAGAAGTACTTAAAACAAAAACAAAGGGAAAAGAAGAGGCACGTTATTTTTTAAGAATGTTTATAATGTTTATAACATCCAACTATTTGTTTCTAGAAACTTTAATGTACACCTTGTACGACTTAAGTTCAAATCGTGACAGTGTTTGCTTTTTAATTTCTGTGTCACAAGGGCAGGTGCTCTTGTACCTAATGCAGACTAATGTGAGTTGTAAATTTGAAAGCCCAATTAATACAAAGACAGCCTTCTTTATAATCATCCCATGATAACCACGCACACTAAGTGGACTCACCCGTTTCGCAATAAATACTGAAACAAATATTGAATATCTCATGATATCCATCCTCAAAGAAAAGTTGTTATCTTTTAAATACCATATTTTTTCTTCTTAAATAACATACGCATCACAGATGTAATCAATAATGATGTCTAAATAAACCTTCAATCTAAGTCATTCCATTGTTCATTCTTACAAAATGCCTTTTTTACATAACTGCTCCTGTTTTTCACTTTTTTTTATCTTTTTTTTATTGAAGCAACTATTTTGGTATGTCTGAAACGCATCATAATAGCAGTCTTTGATAAGGTCAATAATGTGTTGAATCTGATCTTAGATAGTTTTAAACCATTTTACGGAGTATTCACAGCATAATAATATAAACATGGCATGTTCATTTTTGTCAACAAACTTTAATTTTAAACAAGGAAAACCCGCCTGTTCGGGTTTAACATCAGAGCAGATGTCCAGTTTATCATTGGGTTTATCTGGGGATCTCATCCCACGTGAGGCGAAACACGTTTTTCAGTGGTGGTCATTCTACTGGACTCTGGTACTGCTGACCTTACCAAACTGACCACACGACCTAATTCCTAAACAAAACAAACTATTATTAGGTTCACTTCTTCAGGTGATGTTTGTTTAAAAAGTTCGATATTGAAAGAAAGAAATCTTAATATAGTTGCTAGAGGAAAGAAGTCGCACTTTAGGGACCAATATTACCCCTTTTACAGCTCCTATATTGAAAATGGGGTTTGGAATGTGGACCACACAGTGACAGGGTCTAAAAGTGCCACTGTTGGGGTATGGTGACCCGTTGAGACAAAACGTCACTTATATAGTTACTACAGTTAGTACTCAACCATTCCGATGCTTTATGAATTATCTCCATCAGACAAAATACACTACCAACCTAACATTTTTTTCACAAATGCTTGAAATGTCAATACCAAAATTTGACATAGCTTATGCTGTTTGAACCATCGAGTGTAATGCTCAGCTAACTTTCTGTGTAGAAATTACATTTTTTACACCGTCAAAAACGACCAACACTTTTTTATATTAAATAAATTTGCGTTTTACCGATGTTTTTTCTTTCTTCAAATTCAAAGTGTTTGGTGTCTCCTGAGGACTGTGGTCTGATGTTGTCCTCATATGTTGACATGGTTGTAAACTTTATTTATAGTTTTAGTTTTTTCTTAAAATTTCAATTACTGAACTAACATATTTATTTTGAATATATTGGATAATAATTTGAAAGAATGAAATGGGTATACTTATTACACTAATTATACATGATATAACAGGTTCCAGGTGGTCATTCCTATCTAGTTCACACGTGCCTGAGGACATGTACCCAGTGAGGTGAGCCACTCGCGGTAGTTGATATTTAGTATAAGACATTATCACAATATTGTCACGTACGCTCGGCTATGTGACCTCTGTAGCTTGTCATTAAGTCCACCCACTGTAGGCTATACATCGACATGTTTACGACTCATGAAGTGTCTAATAGTCACTTACTATAGCCTAATCCATCGAACAAGAACCCCTAATTTGTTTCTATAAGATATTTGATTTTGTAGGATGTAGGTATGTTTGGAATCTGTTCAATACTATAAACACACGCACAATGCAATGCTTTTATAACTCTTACAATTAGAACTTAATATGAATAAGCTTATTTTTTTATTCACTTCTACATATTGATATTGCGTCTTTCTAAAAATGTTCTTCGTCACTTTGCGATACTTTATTCACTGTCAACATGTTGATACACTGTTGCGTTTAGAAATCAACTTTGACACTTAGGGAACATATTAAAGACATACACATACAACATCCCAAATCAATATTCTCTGCCTACAGGCAGTACTAAGTGTACCCGGATATAGGCCAGTTGCACTTGCTATTTTGATAAACACTTCATCCCTCGTTTTGTGTATTTGTTTTGTTTTGTATGTCATTGCCGTTTTTTATTTATTGTTATCTTCGTTGCAATAGTTGATAATATTGAATCTATGCTGCTGTAGTAATGTCTGTGATCGTTGTCCTGATGTTGTCATAGGGTATAGACGTTTGTTTCATGTTTATGTAGCTTTTGGTAATTGCTGTGTAGCATGTTGATGGTTCCTTCGTGTTCTTGTTTTACAGTTGATGTTTCCCTCGTGTTCTTGTGTTACAGTTGATGTTTCCCTCGTGTTCTTGTGTAACAGTTAATGTTTCCTTCGTGTTCTTGTTACAGTTGATGTTTCCCTCGTATTCTTGTGTTACAGTTGATGTTTCCTTCGTGTTCTTGTTACAGTTGATGTTTTCCTCGTGTTCTTGTTACAGTTGATGTTTCCTTCGTGTTCTTGTGTTACAGGTTATGTTTCCTTCGTGTTCTTGTGTTACAGGTTATGTTCCCTCGTATTCTTGTGTTACAGTTGATGTTTCCTTCGTGTTCTGCTTACAGTTGATTTTTCTTCGTGTTCTTGTTACAGTTGATGTTTCCTTCGTGTTCTTGTTACAGTTGATCTTTCCCTGGTGTTCTTGTGTTACAGTTGATGTTTCCTTCGTGTTATTGTGTTACAGTTGATGTTTCCTTCGTGTTCTTGTTACAGTTGATGTTTCTTCATGTTCTTGTGTTACAGTTGATGTTTCCTTCGTGTTTCTGTTACAGTTGATGTTCCCTTCGTGTTCCTGTTACAGTTGATGTTTCCTTCGTATTCTTGTGTTACAGTTGATGTTCCCTTCGTGTTCCTGTTACAGTTGATGTTTCCTTCGTATTCTTGTGTTACAGTTGATGTTTCCTTCGTGTTTCTGTTACAGTTGATGTTCCCTTCGTATTCTTGTGTTACAGTTGATGTTTCCTTCGTTTTCTTGTTACAGTTGATGTTTCCCTCGTGTTCCTGTTACAGTTGATGTTCCCTTCGTATTCTTGTGTTACAGTTGATGTTTCCTTCGTGTTCCTGTTACAGTTGATGTTTCCTTCGTGTTCTTGTTACAGTTGGTGTTTCCTTCGTGTTCTGGTTACAGTTGATGTTTCCTTCGTGTTCTTGTTACAGTTGATGTTTCCCTCGTGTTCCTGTTACAGTTGATGTTTCCCTCGTGTTCTTGTTACAGTTGATGTTTCCTCATGTTCTTGTGTTACAGTTGATGTTTCCTTCGTGTTCTGGTTACAGTTGATTTTTCCTTCGTGTTCTTGTTACAGTTGATGTTTCCCTCGTGTTCTTGTTACAGTTGATGTTCCCTTCGTATTCTTGTGTTACAGTTGATGTTTCCTTCGTGTTCCTGTTACAGTTGATGTTTCCTTCGTGTTCTTGTTACAGTTGGTGTTTCCTTCGTGTTCTGGTTACAGTTGATGTTTCCTTCGTGTTCTTGTTACAGTTGATGTTTCCCTCGTGTTCCTGTTACAGTTGATGTTTCCTTCGTATTCTTGTGTTACAGTTGATGTTTCCTTCGTGTTCCTGTTACAGTTGATGTTTCCTTCGTGTTCTTGTTACAGTTGGTGTTTCCTTCGTGTTCTGGTTACAGTTGATGTTTCCTTCGTGTTCTTGTTACAGTTGATGTTTCCCTCGTGTTCCTGTTACAGTTGATGTTTTCCTCGTGTTCTTGTTACAGTTGATGTTTTCCTCGTGTTCTTGTTACAGT